TGAACAACTATTGGGAAAGCAGGATAAAAATTAGTGGTAATATTTTAAAAATGCATGTTGGCAACAAATCTGTCCACAAATATGACTGTTAACTGTAGACTGATATAGTTGCAATATCTCAGTTGCTGCATAGGTACAGCTAGGGATACCAACTCCAGCTTAGGAAATTCCTTAAGATTTAGGAGCAGTGTGGCTGGCAGGGGGGGGAGTTTGGGGACAGGATGTGATTTCACTCTAGGACTTCAGTTTCTCCTAGGCTGTATGGTATACCATAGAGTCTGCCCTCTGAAGCTGTCATTTCCTACAGAGGAACTGATCTTTGTACTCCGGAGATCAGTTGTAATTCCTGGAAAACTCCAAACCCCACCTTGAAGTTGGTAATGCTAGTTGCAACTGACTTTGTTCTTAAGGATCAGATAGAATGGTGCCTGGTGACCATGGCAATTTCACTTGCTGATGATTTAAAATGTACACCTCTGTGGGGCTGCTCTGCATGGACTAGAGAGGTACACCAGCTCCTATGTTCCTTCTTAATTCTCTTGCTTTTGAAATAGCCGCAGAAGTTGGCAATGCTGGGTGGCTTCATTAAAACGAACTTAAACACTGGCATTCTAGCTGTACAGATGTCTGAAATAACCTTGTCACTTAAACCAGCCTTTTGCTTGGACAACATTGCATTAACGAAGCATACCTTATAGGGCTGTTCTTAGCATCGGGGTCTTTGGCATGTACCCTCCCCACTGAAGCACCGGGGCCTGCATTCTCATCCACTTCAAAAATGTAACTTGGTGCTAAAAACACTGGTGGCTCATCGGCATCCTCCACATTGATTTTCACAGTCACAGTATCTTTAAATGGTCCATTGTTGATGAACTTTGGGTCTATGTGTACATTGGCCGCCTCTACTTTCAGACTGTAGGTCTTTTTAGCTTCATAATCCAGGTGCTGAAAGAAACAGGAAAATTGTCTTGTCAGTTGATTTCATTCATAGTATTAGGTTGGATCCAGACTAAATTCTCTGTAGCAGAATGGAACTTTCCTGTCTCCACTCATCCACTACAGCCCACAGATCTCCATGAAATGCAGCTGGGAAGTAGCTAATACTCTGGGGAGCACCTGAAAAGTAGGGAATAGATAGGGTTGCCAATTTCCAGGTGGGGCCTGGAAAACTCCTGGTATTATAACTGATCTCCACACGGCAGAGATCAGTTCCCTGGAGAAAATGGCTGCTGTGGAGGGTGGAATCTACGACATTGTACCGGCTGAGGTGCCTCCCCTCTCCAAACCTTGCCCTCTCCAGGCTCCACTCCCCAAATCTCCAGGTATTTCTTAACCCACAGGTGACAGCCCTAGGAATAGGGATATTGAATATGGAAGAGGATATGGAAGAATGACATGGTGGGGGGGGTGGACTGTAGAGGGAAGGGGAAATTGGTGGAAATTGCCAGTATAGTCTGCATCTAACTTGCCATTAGGATGTAATTATTTTGAGAGGATGCAATTATTTTGAAATAAATAAATTAAATAATAACTATGGCTGCTTTTAAAATAGATCCTGAATTGGTTTTGTGTCTATCATCCACACATCCACAGTATAGAAGATATTATGGCATGGATCCTAAATTGTTGTTCCATTAGCATAGCAATGGCTCCTCTGACAGAACAGCTTTTCTGTCTGCAGAGGAGGGAATGGAGATTTTTACCCATCCCTCCGTGAAGACTTCCCCCCACCATTCCTTTGGATCCACTGATCTACAGGAACACAGTTTTGCAGGACACAGAAGGCACCTGTGAGAAGAGGGAATATACAACATCTTTCTCCCCACCTCCATTTTATCTTGAAAACAACTCCCCTGTGAGGTGGATAAGGCTGAGAGTGTATAATTGGCCTAAGGTCACCCAGAAAGCTTTGTGGACATTTGAACCTGTGTCTCCCTGGTTCTTGTCTGACACTCTAAGTTCGGACTGGCAGTTGGAAGCGGGACGGAGTCGTGGCAAAAAAGACCCGGAACAAACTGTTCCTGTTTTTCCCGGTCACACTGCGTGGACTGATGCGGGAGCATACTGGGAGGAGCCATGAGGGAGTGTTCACACTGTTGGCCCGGAGGCATGGCTGTAAGATGCGGCTTTCTTTTTTGTAATCTGGAGCGCGTAAGAAAAATGTGGCTTGTGGCATTCACACTTTGTTGGTGGGGGATGGACATGGGATAATCGCACTTTCCAGGGTTTCCTACCACTTTCACCAGGTATCTTTTAAACTCAGGAGCGAAGCATTTCAAGACGGGTTGATTACGGGTGGGGAATGCCTGACAGATATGCCTGTGTGAATGGCCCATTTAATCCGGTTGTGGAACGTTTCTGAAATGCGCGTATATCGGGGCAAACTGTCAGTCTGAACTCGGCCTAAGTCTAACGAGAAGAAGAAGAAGAGCAGGAGGAGATTGGATTTATACCCCACCCTTCATTACCTAAAGGAGTCTCAGAGCAGCTTAGAACAGTTTACAATCTCCTTTCCCTCCCCACAACAGACAACCTGTAAGGTAGGTGGGGCTGACAGAGCTCTTTCAAGAACTGCTCCTGAGAGAACAGCTCTGAAATTACTTGTGACTGACCCAAGGTCATGTTACACATGCTGCATTAGGATCTAAGCATACGTAATTATTTATGTTCATTTTGGTGTTGGGGAGGCTGGTTTGTTTTATTAAGCAAAAGAATTTGTGTTGCATTTATAAGCACCATTGTATGCACACAAATAATAATAACTTGCCTTACATGAGAAAGCATATTAAAAGGGCAGAATAAAAAGGACCAACAGAGTGATTTAAAAAAATCACAAAAAGAAATGCAAAATAATTAGAAAACATAACAAATACAGAAATACAAAAGTTAATATACAAAACTATATTAAAGCTGCATTTCTTTTTGCGGACGTTAAGCTTCCATTCACAAAAGGAGCAGAAACAAACCTTGGTTCCCCCCCCCCCCCCCGAAGGAAAGTTCATATTATAATAGTGTTTGTGTGAGGAAGATCCAGACAGTATCAGAAAAACAGAAGGAGGACCATAAGTTATTAAATTCTACATATTCATCAATATTGCATGGAAACAGAATAGGAATAGGATGCTATAGCCTGTGCTAGCCCAATCTCTTCTGAGCTTATGAAGCTAAGCAGGGTTGGCCCTGGTTAATATTTGGATGGGAGACCTCCAAGGAATACCAGGGTCATGACATAGAGGCAGGCAATGGCAAACCACCTCTGAACATCTCTTGCCTTGAAAACCCTATGGGGTTGCCATAAGTCAACTGTGGCTGGATGGCAAAAATAATGAGGTATACCTTGGACTGACATGTTTTGGAGGTTCGATATTTGGAGAAAAAAACAGAATGTAGAGATTTTTGTCATCAAGGTTGATAGCATCTAAAGATGTGAGCTCTGACTTGCAAAAGCTCATGCCCAAATAAATGTTAGTCTTTAAGGTGCCAAAGGACTTCTCTTTTCATCTGGGTACAGAGAGCAGCTCTTCTCTGCCAGTCACCTGAGGCCCAGAAAATAGAGGCTGAAGACCAGCCAAGGAGCTAGGAACTGGAGCTTTTGTTGTTGTTGTTGTTGTTGTTCAGTCGCACAGCCGAGTCCGACTAGAGCACACCTGCCTTATACTAGTCATGTTCACTGGCAAAAACCCTCTCACTTTGGTGAGCCCCAAATGATTAATCAGGACCTCTCAATAACTGATCAAGGGACACTTAAGACGCAAAGGATCCTGTTGTGTTTACTTTTTTTTTCTTGCCAACAAAGACTCAGGCTCATATTGACAGACTTAAAAAAGTTTTCGTTCACAATTACCCACTACTGGCAAGTTGGAATCTCCTGTGAAACCCCCAGTTGGGTAAAATAACGAAGATTGTCTTCAACACACCTCTTATCTGCCCTAAGACTCCTCCTCATTTCCTTATTTGGAAACATTTCCAAAACCCTTCACACTTTCAGCTAGTCAGGGACCATACATGATAGCTCCCCTGGGCTCCCTTCCCCTTTCTCCAAATGCAGGAAGAAGACACCTTTTGCTTCATTCAAGCCCCAAGCCCTATAACTGAAGCCAGACTCTGGCTCAACATAAAGTGTTCGCTTGTTCATGACTACCATGATTGGTAATCAAAGAAGTTCCATTTCTGGCACATATTATGTACCTCCACCTCTTCAGTACTCTTTCCTTTGCATTTATCTTTTGGATTACTGGCTGAACAGACATTTGGGGCTCCTGTCTGAGGATCTGGTTCTCTGCCTAGAACCTGCACAGATAAGTATCTAGAAACCACCACTTCATTCCCCTACCTATTTTGGCCTCTTGCCTTCCATTTCCTGAGTGGTACACAGAACGTGCATGTGTGTGTGTGTGTGGGGGGGAAGCATCTAGAACATTTCTATTTTAAGGTGGACATTTGAGCATATGGTCCTGTTGTTGAATTCTGTTAAAATGACCCCCCCCAAAACCCCTTTCAAAAAGAAATAAGCCTTCTGTTTATGTTTTTGCCCAAAGGATAATACTGAAGACAAAGATTTTCAGTCCATTTCTTGTCTTGTAGTAATGAGGGCTACCTTCAGAGGGCAGCAAGAATAAACATTTGCCAGAGCTCCAGGTCTGACAAAAAGTCCAAAAAGTGCATTTCCAATTTTCAGTAGCATAAAATAGAAGGTTAGAGGTGGCATGAGATTCCATTTGTAGAGTTCTTGGTTCAGGTGGAACACTATCAATGTGTTAGGAACCCCCAAACAGTGAATCTTGTGCCAATGATATTCCTAATTCAGCACCTTCAATCTCCACATGGGATTTTCTATTATCTATATACATTACATTTTTATCCGTCCCCCAAGGTTAGGCTGAAAATGACTGTCCCAATATCATCTTGTGAGCTTTGAGGCTAAGTGAGGATTGGAATCCTGGTTTCTCTGGTCCTCATCTGTCATTTTAACTTCAATACCACTCTTGCTCATACACTTCCTCATGAGCAGGGCTCTTCTCTGTTGGACCACCCTGAGCTTTGAATCAGGTTGCTTCAGACAATCTTCCATCCCAGAGAGAACTATTAGTGTTGCAGTTTTATTTTAAAACTTTGTTATTAATGCGGCTGAACACCGCTGCCTTTCTTTGGTGCTTTGTGTTAAGATGTTCGCTTTGATTTTTGCAGTGACATCAGCCGGGTAATAAAAGGCAGCCTCTCTCTCTCTCTCTCTCTCTCTTTTTGAATAGAAAGCTGAAAGCAGATAAGTGGCTTAGGCAGCCTGAATCTCTTGATGGGAACATAATGCTGTTCTTCCTGGGTTTTTCTTTCTTTCTTTCCCCTTTCTTTCTCTCAGCACTGAATCCGTTTGGAAGGGATATTGACAGCCGAAATTAAGTTTTCATCAGAAAAGCAGACGCGGGCATGCACGCATACACACACATGCATGCACGCACACACACAAAAAAATCCCTTGTAATTTTCACATTATCTGAAAATTCACACTGAGCTGCCAACTTAAAAATGAATGCTTGGTGATAACCAAAGCAATCCCATCATTTATTTCCAAGTTAATACAAAATAGGCTTTGAAGAGCGAATGGTGTTGATTTCTCAAGTGGAAGATCAGTAAAAGAATAATGTACTTTCTCTACTTTAAAAAGATGTTAAGAAGCCTCTATGCATCGATGCCTTCTTTTCATAATCTCTTCCCTTCCATTCTGGCTCCAGGCACTAGCAGATAAGAGTAAAATGGAATGCTGGAAGTTAATCATAGCTTCATAAACAAATTATCCCAAACTGCATTTGCTGCGATTTTCTTACCATGAGTGATAATCTATCGCTATTATATTTTCTACGAGGCATGGAAGGAAAATGAAGTATATTATCCATTAACAGGAATGAAGGGGTCGCGTTGCTTACCTTCTTAAGCTTCACAACCCCTTCCTGAGTCTCGTAATCTGTTGTAATTTCAAATATCTCCATACCATCCCCGTCGATAATGTTGTATGCCACTAAGCCATTCTCCCCAATATCGGGATCTTTGGCCTTCACTCTTCCGGCTTCTTCCCCTGGGACAGCTGCTTCTGATATTGACATCTGATAAACACCTAGGTAAAGAACATTTATTTGTTAATGGACTGCTAGGCACTTTATGCATGATATCCCTGCTTGTGTAATCTATATGTGCTAAAAGAGCACAGCAAAATGCTTATTTTTTTTAATGGCAAATTAAAGACATATCCTAAAGTTGCCAGGTCTCAGTTGGAAAACACCTGGAGACTTTGGGAGTGGATCCAGGAGAGGGCAGGGTTTGGGGAAGCGAGAGGCGAGAGGCATAGTGCAACGCCATAGAGTCCAACCTACAAAGCAGCCATTTTCTCCAGGGGAGTTGATCTGGAGATCAGTTGTAAAAATGGGAGACCTCCAGGCCCCACCTGGAGGCTGGCAACCCTAACATATCCAAAAGCCCCTTTCAGATGTTTGAAGCACATACAGTCAATGGACATACTGAGTGTAGGCTCTCTCTCTCACTCACACACACACACTCTCTCTCTCCCCCTCTCTTTCACACACACACTCTCTCACTCACTCTCTCTCTCTCTCCAGCCCTTCCCCCTATTAATTTATCTATTAAGGAAATTTTTATGATCCCTCTCCACAGATCTCAGGGCAATCTACATCATTCTCCCCTCCCCTTACAACCACTCAGTGGGGTGGGTTAGGTCGGGAGACTGACTGGCCCTGGGTCATCTAGCGAGCTGTACATGAAACTGCCTTGTACTGAATAAGAACACTGGTCCATCAAAGTCAGTAAACCGGCTGGCAGTGTCTCTCCAGGATCTCAAACAAAAGTTTTTTTCAAGATACATCAAGATGGGTAATCCTGTTTGTCTGTCTGTAGCAGTAGGAAAAAGCAAGCATTTAGTAGCGCCTTAAAGACTAACAAAAGTTGTGACAGGTGATGAGCTTTCGTGAGTCACCGCTCACTTCTTTCACATCACCTCCTACCTGATCCTTGTAAGTGGAGAGTGGCAAAGTCCCCTTGCAAACGGTTGCTGAAGTGGATTGAGACCGCATTATTTAGTATGTGTGAAAGCGTGCATTAAATTTGCTCTCATGTTTGCAACCTTTGCCAGACAGCCCTCCTCAAGAGCAGATTCCAGCCTGGATCTCCCAAATCTCAGCCACTACACCATTCTGGTGATTGTGTCAATAAGCTCTGACCATGACCAGTGCACGTTCCTTGCATATCTGTATGCAGCATGTACAGCTTTCTCTGGTAATGCGGCTTTTGGGGGGGTCTCCAAATCATGTGGCGAGAATACCATAGACTTTCACTGATTGGATGTATGCTGGGGAAAACAACACAGTCTTCCCACACTCATTGCACATGTTTAGAAGTCTAAAACAGGCTACAGATCAGGTGTAAGCCAAGGCAGTACTTAGAAACATCCGTGTACACAATGGAGCGTGAGATGTTGGTGAAAGGAGTGAAGCCAGCGTCAGGCTTTCAGAAGCTCTTGCTGTTGGGAGAAGAATGCTGGACTGTACAGATCTTAGGGCTCAACTAGATGCGACAGCATCCCTAAGACCACTATGGGGACGCCTCTGCCATTTTAAGGATGATGCCACTGGGGCCCAATACTGATCAGGACAGCAGTGTGGTCGGGAGGAGGGTATCCTGTTCCCCCACATGCCATTTTCAAAAGCCCAACCCCCTGGCATTTGGAGTCTTGAAAATGGCAGGTAGGGGGGATAGGATCCTCTCCTCCCCACCCATGCTGCATTCCCAATCAAGATCAGCCCCCCCCCATTGTGATCAGAGGGAATTTCCCTAAAATGGCAGCGGTGTCCACATGGTGGACTCAGGAATACTGCCACATCTAGATGACCCTTTAGTCTGCTCCACCAAGACCATTCATACATTCTTGTCAGAAACAAAGGGAGGATGCTGCCGCACTGGTGGAAGGGTGGAATAAAAGACAGAAAGGCAGCTATGATTTCTAGACGGGAAAGAAAAAGAGATGTGAAAATTGAACCAGTAAAACTGGGAGACTGAATAGCATCCCCAGCAATAATGACCATAGCCAGTTCAGAGTGAGTGCATGGACCACTGCACTTGTTCTCAATTGGCAATGTGCCCTAGCAAATGGTTGTGAAAAGGGCCCCACCCCTAACCTTTATTGGCTAAGACTAATCAGCATATGTAAAGGTTTCCCTTGCTCGAAAGCTAGTCAGATCTGTCTCTAGGGGGCGGTGCTCACCTCTGTTTCCAAGCTGAAGAGCCAGCATTGCCCAAGGACATTTCCGCGGTCATGCGGCCAGCATGACTAAACGCCAAGGCGCACGGAACGCTGTTACCTTCCCACTGAAGCGGTACCTATTTATCTACTTGCAATTTCTTGCTTTTGAACTGCTAGGTTGGCAAAAGCCGGGGCCAGAGACGGGAGCTCACTCCGTCATGGGGCGCCCAGGTCTTGAACTGCCAAACTACAGACCTTACGGTCTGCAGCTCAGCGTCTTAACCTCTGAGCCACCACGGCCCAGTCCTAATCAGCATACAGAAACACAAATCTTCATATATGTAGGAGATGAAGATAAAAGAGCTAGTCCTCCCCAGGAGTCTGTTCTCAGGATTCTAACAAGGATCTATAAATGGCACATTCCATTCCCCTGCAGTCTAACCTATATACAATCGCCTTTCCAATTATGTACATCCCAGCCTCCACCTCGGCATTATATGGCTGCATAGCCAAAATGCAGAATTTATTCTGACACAAAGGCTGTAATTCATGTTGCAGATGTTAATGTAGAATTCCAGAGAAAATTACATTTAAAATGAATCACGGTAGACCTTCAGTTCTAGGAAGGCTTCAGATCATTTATTCAGGGCCGTTTATCCAGAAGCCACAAATTATATGAAGGGGAATGGATATGATATTACAGCTAAAAACACCAACAGGAATAAATCTCTGACTTGGCTTTGTGGCTTTTGCTTAGAAAGATTGACAATGGATCCCCAGCACTCTCTGATGTGCTCCGTGGTAAGGAAAGTGTAAGGATGCTTTTGTTCCTTATAATGCCCACATTCATAAAGAGACAGATGACTTTTGGATGTTATGATCAATCCTGCTTTATAAAACATGGCTTCACCAAACCTTGGCTAGGTGTGATGTTTGAATTAACTGATTGGTGTATGATTTCTTCCCCTTTTTTGTTTTTGCTTTCAGCTGCCCTGTGGGTTGAGTTGGTTGTTTTAGTTGCTGCTGCTACAGTTGGCTTTAGCGAGGCCATGGGTCACAGGCAGAGCTTCTGGTTTGTGTGGAGAAGGTCCCAGGCTCAACCCCTGATACCTCCAGTTAAAAGAATCAAATAGAAGGTTCATTACCCTGACGTGGGTGGTCCAGACCAGTGTTCCCTCTAAGCTGAGTTGGTGTGAGCCAGCTCACAGTTTTTTAGCCTCCAGCTCACAGATTTTTGCTCTAGCTCAGGAAGGATGGCCTCAAAGCAAACTAATTTATGCAGCAACCAAATGGCTCGCTCACAACTTCAATGCCCATAGCTCACAAAGTAGGATTTTTGCTCACAAGACTCTGCAGCTTAGAGGGAACATTGGCCTGGACTAGCCCAATCTCATCAGATCTCAAAGGTTTAGCACGGTTGGGCCTGGTTAGTGCTTGGGGGGGAGAATACCAGGAAAGTCCAAGATTACTACACTGGGTTTGCCTGCTCTGGGTTGGGAAATACCTGGAGATTTGGGGGAGGAGCCTGAGTAGGGCAGGGTTGAGGAGCAGGAGGAGTTCAGTGGGGTATAATGCATAGAGTCAACCTTCCTAAGTGGCCATTTTCTCCAGGTGAACTGAACTCTGTCACCTGGAGGCAGCTGTAATCCTAGGAGAGCTCCAGCTGCCACCTGGAGGTTGGCAGCCCTATGCTACACAGAGGCAGGCAAAGGCAAATAATCCCTGTTTGTCTCTTGCCTTGCAAACCCTAAAAGGTCACCATGAGTCGGCTACGACTCGATGGCACTTTCCACCACCGGGAGGTTCTTCAAAAAGACTACTAGTACTTGAGATTCTGAATCTGGAGAGCCTCTTCCACTCAGGGTAGACACTAGTAACCATGAAAGACAGTAGTAGCTGCCTGAAAGACATCTGAAAGATATCTCCAGAAGACCTGCAAGCCAGCTATGGGAAGAGAGAGCTGATGGTAGCCATCACGAACTCAATACCAGCAAAACGAGCACTTAGTTAGTATGGAATTGTGAATTGGTTTTAATCAGGGCTCTTTTTGTAGAAAAAGCCCAGCAGGAACTCATTAGCATAACAGGCCACACCAAATAGCAGGAACTCATTATCATATTGGGCCACACCCCTGACAGCACAGCACATTAACACATTAGGCCAAACCCCCATGTTACCAGAAGTGTGGTTATCCAGCCACACCCACCTTTTGCTCATTATTCTGTTTACCTTGTTTGCTGTCCAAACCCAGGGCTTTTTTGTAGCAGGAACTCCTTTGCATGTTAGGCCACACACCCCTAATGTAGCCAATCCTAATGTGTTTCTGCTGTTGGGTGTAGCCTATTATGCTAATGAGTTCCTGCTGGACGTGGCCAACTTGGGAACCAGCCGGAACTCCGTTCCTGTGAGTTCCTGCCCAAAAATAGCCCTGGTTTTAATACTGTTTTAAATGGTTTATTGTACTCTTTTAATTTTTTTGGGGGGGTGATTTTATGTAAGCCGCACTGAGCCGGCCTTGGCTGGGAGGGCGGGGAACAAATTTGAAGAATAAATAAACAAACCAATAGTCTGACTCAGTATAAGTTTTTTTCACGTGTCAGTTTTTACATTGATTTTAACTTTTTGCTTTATATTTTTTCTATTTATCGTTTGTTTTCTTTCATAATTGAATTGTATACTGCTGCAAACCACCTCAGGCATCTCTCTGGAGAGTTGGCAGGTAAATATTTAAATAAGTACACAATTTAAATATGCATGCATGCTTCACGTTTGACGTGCCACACATGTATTCCGGGATTCCCACTGGAGAAGGGCGACAACAAAAATATACCAAGAAACAGTCCTGAGAAAGGTGGAAGTCAAAGTTCCTACCAAATGGACAAATCCACTGGAGGGAAAACAGAAATAGTAACTGATTAAGGTGTTTTGTAATTGTTGTGTACTGTTGTGACAGAGAACTTGAAAAGAAGCTGGAACGGAGATCGCTTTTACTAACACGAGTCGTCGCACGGTATGATTGAATTCTTAACAATACAATGGGTAGAAGGATGATAACAGGGGTTTTTTTTTAAGTCTCTCTTGTTTAAAAGTATATGTTTTCTCTGAAGTACAGTTTCATTGCTTTCATCCAGTCCAGTCTCAGCTGTCTCAGTTAAGGGGCTTTCCAGTATATCCATGGAAAGTCTAGACCACATCCCATTGATCTCGGCAGGGGCATGTTTTTAAAACATCATCGTCTGGGATGTTTTGAAAGCCAAAGCCTATCGCCAGGAACCTCCTCCTGTGTCTTAATCCTGCCTTTGAAAATGACTCTCTGTGTGTCACCAGGCAAATGGTTTAACCCTTCTGGGCATCCGTTTGGCTTTTTTAAAAACAAAAAACAAAAGAGGGTTGTTTTTTTTTTGTTTATGTGATCAGTTACTCCATGGTAACAACACCTGGTATAAATATGACACCTCATTTCTTTCTTTAAAAAAGGCTCCCACCTAGGGATTACCAGGAAAGGGATTAAAATGGAAGCCTTGCACAGGTGACCCATCTGCACGTTGACTGACCATATGGGGAAGGAGAGTGAGCATGGATGCATGGGGCCCTGTCTCCTGCCTCCATGCGTGGTGCAAACACATGCTGCTTTCTGATCCAGCTGCCAGTAGAGACCTAGAAGACGCCAAGCCGAGCCAGCAGCCAGAGACCATCAAGGGCCCACCACCAAGGGTGCCGGTAGGCAGTCCCCACCCCCAATACTAAATCTGGCCTAAGTTAGGGATTACAGTTCATAGAACGCAACACATGTAAACCGCCCAGAGACCCTCCGGGGTTAGGGTGGTATAGCAAGTCTAAAGTTAAATAAATAAATAAAATAAAATGTTGATGATCAGAGGCACTTCCTGTGCATTTGCTGTGGAGGCACTTCCTCTGTGCATCTGCACGGTTCAGACCACATGATGACCATGCAGAGAGTGCTTTGACCCGTTCTCCCTCCTCAATGTACAGATGGGTCACCTGTAAAGGGCTTAAACCACCCACTATTGGAATACCATGTACAGTATTGGCAGCCCCATTTCAAAAAAGTATTTCTGTACAACTGGAAAAGAGCAGCTAAGGAGTGAGGAGACATCCCTATCGGAAACCATGTGATCAAGAAGCCACATGCATTCCCACATTTGCTTTGATTTAAATATCTCACTTTTCTCCCCCAGTTGGGACTCAAAACAACTTAGAACATCATTCTGCCCTCCCCCATTTTGTCACAGCAAACCTGTGAAGTAGGCCAGGCTGAGAGATTGTGACAGGCCCAGTGAGCTTCCATTGTAGACTCTAGGATCCCAATTCAACACTCAATCCACTATGCCATGCCAGCTGACATGGGTCTGCAATGAGGAGGGCAAAAGGGATGAAATGCCCATTGCAGTGTCCCATGTGATATGCAATAGGGAAGGAGAATTGAACACAGAGATACCAGGTCAGATGGCATCCCTCTATTGTTCATAATATATAGTTCTATGTTTGTGAACTCCAGTGCTGATCTATGGACTTTCCTCTGAGACAAAGACGGGCCAAATAGCTTCCTAGCACTCCATGTGTGCTGTGTTTCTTAAATCTCGGGGGAATAGCACAAAAGATGCTGCATTATTTTCCAGAGGGAGCTTGCAACTTACTCTGTGGGAATTTGGGTGGGTTATCATTGACGTCAGTCAGGGTAATTGTCACTTTGGTCGTCCCTGAGAGTCCTCCCATGTGTCCTCCCATGTCCTTCGCTTGGATGACGACATGATATTCTTCTTTTGCTTCTCTGTCCATGTTGGGAAGAGCAGTTCTAATAATACCTTTTGATATACGGTGAGAGGAGGGGAAAAGAGGCCAAGTAAACATTATTTTACCTTCATTCCACACTAATAATCTCACTTCATGTCACATGCTTTGCTTGCATCAGCAGTGGCCTAGATTCCCCACGATGATGGTGCTCCAGACACAGTGTCTATGAATCTGCGTTTATGAATCCAGCAAAGTCAAAGGAGAATCACTCAAGGGGACCCTCTGTTACTATAAACGAAGCCAAAATCATCATGCTAAAGACGTGGCGTGATCTGGGGCCTGATAGATGTCCTCTTTTGCTGCCTTGCTTTGACTACAAAAATGGCAAGGTTGTCAGGCATAGGGGATACCAAACTATGTGGCACATTTAGGGTTGTCAGGTCCTTTCTGGCAACCGGTGGCAGTTGGAGGGACTTACCAACAGTGAGGAGAGGTCTAGGCTGGCAGTGTGTCTTCTGGTGCACACCAGAAGTGATGTCATTGTGTCACCAGCAATGTGGAAAGCTTTCGTATTTTGAGCAAAAACTCTATGGTAGAAGCTGCTTTAACGTAGAGATTTTGCCAAAATACTAAAACATCCCATGCTGCCAGTAATGTGATTACATCACTTCAGGTATGCTCTAGAAGTGATGGCACTGTGTTGCCAGCCTAGACCTCTCCTCCAAAGAAGTCAGGACAATAATCAAGGTTTAGGGTGTGCGCTCGGTATATACCGAGCCAAATAAATTTATTTATTTATTTCCTTCAATTTATATCCCGCCTTTCCTGCAAAGCAGGCTCACTGCGAGTTCCAACCTATAATAATCTGCTGAGTGCAGATTTACATAATAAAAACAGGATAACAAAATACATACAGTAAATACAATCAAATAAATAAAACACTAATACTTTAAAATAAATTATACCTCAAGAGCCACATAAGAGCAACTCATAGGGGGAAGGAAGGGGGAGGCCAGATTGAACTGGATACCCACTGCCTCAACTGAAGGCCTGGTGGAAGAGCTCCATCTTGCAGGCCCTGCGGTATTTTATCGGAATTTTTCAGGTATTTATTCAGCTGAATACAGATTGGACAATCTGATTTGGCTACTGAAATACCCATGCCCGAATAAAAGCCGATATTTCACCCTATAGGTATACCCTATAGTCCCCCATAGGGTCTAATGAAGCCGAATAAATTTGGGTTTCCCAAATATTTACCTGAATACCAATACAATATCAATACTGGTATTCTAGAATACTGATATTTTTCGGGTCCAATACACCTGAATCGGGGGGAAAAGATTTTTTGCACACCCCTATCAGGGTTCTCTCCTCACCATTTTATTATCATAACAACCCTGTGAGGTGGGTTAGCCTGAAAGAATGTGACTGACCCAAGGTGATCTCCATGGCAGTGCAGGGAGAAGGAAGAAAGGTGGGGCAGAACAAAGGTTCACATCATATGGATGGAAGAAAGGTGGGAGAAAGGCTGAGTCCACCTCTGCTTCTGGGGCAATCCAAGCTTGCCACACTCCTAAAGAGATGGTTGAGTTGGTAGCTGGAGCTTATTGCACCCCTGGGTTCTGACTGC